ATTCATAGACCAATGACAAATGGCATCTGGATCTGGAAACGGTCTTGCATGGAATCGAACCAACAATCTTCAGATTTGAAGGCGAGCCATAATTACGAGCTATAATTACTCGGCTACCTAGACAATTATTAGGTTGATATGCACATCAAATAAGATTAAGGTTGTTCCATGTTTTGTCTATTGTGTCACTAGTCCAAAAAATAGGTGTTTACCAGACGAGCCTTAAGGATTAGCATACAAATACGGTTAACACATTTTGGAAAAAGGACATACAGTATTTTTCGCCTACTATTTTAAATTAACCTAATATTTAAAAAATTCAAAATCTGATATATGTTTACAATTTAAAGACTTAATAATCATTAACGGTACTACAGTAAACTCTTGACATTTCAAAATCGGTCGACCAGGCAAATAAAATTTGAATAATAAAGAGTTTTGAATTAGTAAGAGGTTTACTGTTGATACTGTTCAATGAAATGGCAACCATACATAGTGGGTATTTTAAGCCAAGTATGAATGAAGAAGAGTGTAGGATGAGTGGCGCGATCTTGTAGTCTTGTTAGTGACTAAGGCCGACATTCCTTAGACACAGCTGTTAATTAATAGCCCATACAGCTAATGGCAACTAAGGGACCTACAGTTTATAGTGGAGTCCGAACCACATTTTTCCTTGGTATATACGAATTGGTCTAATTATCAGGATAGTACTGCGGATAGTCGTAGTACTTACTCGTGCGGACGTTAATCCACACCAGGGAGTATCGCATCCACAGTGCATGCCTATAAATATCCACAATTCGTTACCTCCTAGTAGCTGGATTACAGGACGACGCCACCCGTACCAGTCCTTTGACTTACTGGGAGGAAAATAGACAGATAAAGTTACAAAAAAACTTTTTTTAATACTGTACAGTACAACCCCACTAAACCGTCACATATGGGCCGGGTCAATGGTCAGGACAGTGAATAGGTCGGAATATCTGGGGAGTATATTAAATGACCTAATTAATTTGATTAACTTACATTTATTGGTCCCGGGCGATTGTGGAAAACAATGATAATATTCCTGTGGCCGTGGGAGAAACTTAATATTTTTGTCACGATCGTGGGAGAGGACAATGTTTCTTTAGCTACAGGAAATATTCAAGGTTTTTACGCGATTGCAGATAGTACCATTAGTATCCAAAAAATCAAAATCTTTATTGCCTTTACACAATTAATTAAGTACATGTATGGCATTGACGAAAATACATAATACAACACTCTATGGTCCGATGTCTGATAAAATAATCTACAAAATCATTGATTCACCCTAACAATGATAATTTTTCTGTTATTGCGGCCGCGGGAGACAATGATGATGTCCCAATGTGAGTTCAAAGGATATTTAATATTTGCCGCAATCACCGAAGACAATGATGTTTTTTCAACAACGGTGGGATTTGTCTCAGATTTTCCCACGATCACGGAAGATGCTGATAACATTCCCTTGACTGTAGGAAAAATTCATTACCATACAGTAGTACAGTAGATTGAGCAGGCGGCAAACAGCTGTTTTACGGACTAATTCCATGTGTGGTAACTCAATTATAACACAGTAGTCTGGCAAAAAAGACACTTTTTTAAAACTTAACTTTTAATACTTTTAATTAAAATGGCGACCATACGAAGGTAGGTATTTTAAGCCAAGCATGAATAGCGATGAGTGTAGGATGAGCGGCGCGATCTTGTAACTTGTTATTTATTACTGACTAAGACCGACATGTTCCTTAGACTGGAATGTTAATTAATAGCCAATTAAAACTAAGGGACCTACAGTTCATAGTAGAAACCAAATCCCATTTTTGCCTTGTAATTTAAAAATTTGTCTAATTATCAGGATAGTACTGCGGATATTCGTAGTACTCACTAGTGCTTGACGTTAATCCACACCAGTGAGCATCGCATCCACAGATCATAAATATAAACATCATAAATATAAATATCCACAGTTTGTGACCTCCAAGTAGCTGGATTGCAAGACGACACCACAGTCCCAGTGAATAGATCTTTATGAGGAGAATACAATACCGCAAACTAGAACTCAAAATGGTAAAAAAAGACACCCCTTCAAAGATGTATTGAATTTGTAATACAAACACCACGTTACATGATTAGGTACACCATGTTGTTATTACAAAAATCCTAAAATTCAAGATATCTTTGAAGGGGACGGGTCTGGGCATTGTATTCCACTAATAGTAAAGTCCTTTTATTTTATAAGCATAATGCTTACATTTAAGATTTTCTTCTGACTTTCCCTGAGGTAGTAATCACTGAATAATGTATTAACTCAATAATAACTTTGTTCCATGTTTTGCAGCTTCGTCTTATCATCAAAATATTTACCTCTGTTCTGAGACTTTTACCCATCCTGTATTACTAGAGACAAGCTACTGTTTCGCAACTAGGTTGTTTTATTTGGTTAAATTAAACAAATACCCCAGCCGCAGCAAACCTGCAGACTAAGCGAATTTCAATTTTTTAAATTAGATTTTTGCTAGGCCCAATCTATTGCCATGAATTAGACACTTTCATATTTTAAGGGTACAAACAAAGGGGAAAAAAACAAAAATTTTGAAAATCTTAAAACCCTACTACATTACAATCTTATTACCTAGTATCACACAATCTTAGTGGTTCGCGAACTTAATCAAGTTTATCTAAGTATATATGAACAATCATACCAAATTTCATCAAAATTGGTCCAAAATTATGAAAGTCATTGTGTTTACAGACACACACACACACACAAATATATATAAAATAGATTTAAATATATGAAAATAGTGTTTTAGTCTCTAGGGACATAAAAATGAAAAAGTAAATCTAGATCTTTCTGTTCCGCCAACAATAATAGATTCTTTGCCACAGGGAAATTTCCTGAAACAAATAGTGGACATCAAATTGCCCACTTCAACAACTGGACGGAACTAACCTAAACATTATTGTCTTAAGCTATAATGATGAAGTGCTTATAATGATTCACAGATGAATAAATCTACGAGGAGATGTACTTAATGGTTTTATTTTAACTCTTAGAACAAACCTATAAAAATAAATAAGAAACAACTTTATATTAATTACACTACCTGTACCATGTACACGTGCTTCGCAACGGGAAGAAAAACCTGTTTCAAAATCATTGACATCGATTTGGAAAAAAAATCCATGAACAAACACCAAACTCCATGTGTATCATACTCCCTTAGTAGATTTATCATCCTTATGGAACAGTTGAAGCCAATGTTATATTTAGTTATATCTTTTTTTGTTATTTTAGTCATTTAATACCTCGTTTAAGCAAGGAAAATGGTCTAATTATAAACAATAACTTGTACCCTATACCTAACCAAGCAAACTACAACAATTAAATAAATTTATTCTCCATAAGAATAACATGAGAGTTTTTAATTACTTTTTTTACTCTATGTAACAATTCTTGAATATACAAAATTATTTGTTTTTGTAAGCTCTACATAATAGTGTAGAAAGAAATTGCAAAATTTTGTGTTTTGGGGTTCAAAAATGTGGAAAAACAATTTTCACTCCCTAAACATTCCCCATAGTCTGATAACCCATAGTCTGGTTTGCAAAGTTGTTTAAATAAACAAAATACAAACGTTTGTACCAAATTTAATTAAAATCAGATTATTTTCCCTTGAGTTATTCAACATTTATATATATTATAGGCTATATATTATCTATACTATCATAGAACTGAGGTGGTATATGTCTGTCTGTCTGGGCGGCTGTCACGACTAAAAAAATACTTAAACCAATATACAGTAGACTCCCTCTTATCCGGACACCTTTTAACCGGACATCGGTTTAACCGGACTACAATCGGCGGAAATGACATCTCTTTAACCGGACTAGATTGGCAGGAAGTGGGCGGTACTGAAACGACTGTTCTCGTGGGAAAGATTTGGAGATCAGTGATCACATGTCTAAATACAATTCTCTCCTAACTTTAAATCTAATATCACAGTAAACGGTCCGTTTTAATGAGTTTTTGGGGACGTCGGTTTAACAGGAAAAACTGTTATCCGCCTCTTGGTCCTGAGGAGTCCGGATAAGAGGGAGTCTACTGTAGCTAAAATTAACCACAAAGATGGTCCATGTATCTAGGATGGTCATCTAGAGGCCTATTCACTTCCTTGAGTTCCCCTCGGGCTTCACCCCGTGGATGTCTAAAGGTTTGAGGTGATGTTTTCAAAAGTAAATATTGATTGGTCTCCATGGCAGGATGAGAAAACTCATTATGTTTATTTTTTCCTTTGACATTTTAGTAAACAAGAAGAACTGTCAATGTTAATTTCACAATTTCAGACAGCTGATCCAATGAAATGAAATATAATATATATATATTTTACACAACTATGCGGTAGGATTATTTAATCTAAATCCATAGACTAAACAACACAAGTAGACTTCTCATCCCATTGTAAATTTCAAAACTTGTTTTTCGTGCCTAGTTCATGTCCTGTGACACTGATTACTAGTGTCGAAATTTTCAAGTTCACCAGCACACAAATGATAAGCAACCACCACCACCACAGTAAGAATCCAAGACAAAAAGCAATAAGGTAACTTGGACGCCGACTCCCTAGTCACTGTTGAAGAATAAGTTATTCTGGCAGTGTCAAACTTAAGTATTGACAGCACTGGTATCCAAGTCTGATATTGACCTTTGTGAATTTATTTTGTGTACGCCTGATAACATGTAGCGTCATTCACATAGTTTTATGACTTTAAAGTGACAAAAGCATAGAGAGGAACCTTAATGTGAAAAAATGAGAAACAATACAGTAAAAATTTGATAAAAGAGAAAAATATTATTTTACTTCAGCAGACCAACAGCAATGACAAATATTGCTGAAGAGTGTGGTGTTGACAAAGTTATATTTTGTCACTAAAACTATACTAGTCAACCGTCAAAATTAGCCTAGGCCTACCTTAATTATTTTGTTGGATTTTACTTCAGTTTTAGGCCTACTCTCGTCTTCTCCAGATTCCTCTCCGTTTGTTTTACCTAAAAATGTGTTTGTTAGTAAAAAATAAAAGGATTCACTGTTTAAGTATGCAATATTGTTAGTTACTACATAGGACAGGTTTTTAAATTACTTTTTGTTCAGCCAAAATACCATCGCCAGACATTTTATTAATTGAAAATGACTTGATACATAAATTTATTGGTTTTTAAATGTAGGTATTAAAAGTACATTAATTTACAAATACACATTAACCACTTCAGGCAACAATTTTGGCACATTATTAGGCCTAATTGTAAAACCCTGTACACCAACACATTTTAGATTTTGCTGGGACAAAATTGAGTCACAGACTAAATATAAAATAATAATACAAGATAGAAACAGGCAATTTATTTACAGACTTTCTTTGTTACAGTCAAGAATAAAGAAAGATTTTAAACAAAACAACCATAAACAATCTTGTCCAGTTGACGTCAACAAGTTGCAAAACCTCACTTTCCACCCCAGAGGCATTTTTTATTTAAAATACTTCAATCTTTTTAAACGGAAAAACCCTTCTTGTCACTCTTGTGTCGGAATTAAATTCGAGATAATAGTTATTTATCAATAACGTTTTATAAAGTTTGGTAATTAGCTTGCAATACTAACCTTTACCATTCGGGATAACCGATTCCGGCTCATAATTTGTTTTATTTTCAACAACATCTTCATTTGCTGATGTGGAACGAGTCTTTCTCGTCTTTTTTGGAGTTACAATGGTTTCTGTTGAACCCTCCATTTTTCAATGTTACACACTAAAATAGAAAAGAATGTCAAAATTCCACCCTCTAAGTGAAACCTATAATACCATTTCCAAACCATTTGAATAAGGGTACGCCCAACCAGAAAATGTCTTCTATTAAAGCATTAGTAATGATTGACAGTTTTGTGAAGTGAAAAGATGACAATAAAACTGTCAACACAAGCTACAATAAGTTGACCATAGATTCTGGAACAGTCCGAGATGCTTCCATAACTAATCTCCCTCCCACGCTTTAACCACAAAACCAGCTAGGCCTATAAAATTTCATTAAGGCACTTATTTACCAAAACTTAAAGGTTATTTATCACACTTGGAAATTCTTATTCTTCAGAATCTGAATAAACCTGACTATCACATTAGGCTCTTTTTATACTCTACGGCGCTCCCATAGAGCTACGTTTGATGGCGGGCGCCGATAATTTGTGCGGTGGCCAAATAGAATCAGTGGGGGTATTAGGACTACAAATTTAGGAATTTATATTCACCACGCCACTAGTGTTGATTATACCATAGTCTAAGTAGAATACAACACAAACTTCCTGTCATTGAGCCCCTTTGACATCCCTGAGCTTGTAGTCCTTAGATGAACAAACTCACAAATTTGGTCTAGATTTTATTTCGTGGATGAACTTTATTTCGTCAATGTTTACTTCAGTCATAGTTCTGTCATTTTGCAAACACAAACCTTGCAAACTGATGTTCTAATAAGAAAAACAAATCCTCCTATCACAATGAATTTTAAACAGAAAGTACACAAAAAGAACACAACATACAACAGAAAGTAAAATTTGGGAGGCAAGGCAGTACCATGTTGGGCTTGGAGTTTGTTTAATGATCAGATTGCAGCACTTGTATAAAAGCTGCCATATAACGCATTGTACCTAGAGGCCGCACGTTTCTGAGGCTCCTAAATGCGCCGTCGTGCATCTAGCCAGCCGCAGCAGCGTGCGGCGGCCGCCGCAGAGTATGAAAGCAACCATTTAAACTCAATGCACTTACAGGGGCGCAGGCAGCAGCGGCGTGCCACAGAGTATAAAAGTGGCCCTACTCAACTGTTTTAAGTTAAATTCAAAATTTACTAAATCAGGGTAGCTAGGAAAACTCACACTATCAAATTTAAAAATACCCCCGCCGCAGCAAACCTGCAGACTAAGCGAATTTCCATTTGACTGATTGGATTTACACTGAAATGTCTACTTAAAAATATAACATTCATTCCCTATTTAAATAGAATTAGTTTAACAAGTACTTAGGTTTGCTGCATCAGGGAGGGTAAAACTGTTTTTTTTTTTTTGTAAAATGTTAAAAGTTAGTAAGAAATAAAAACATTTTCCAAATTTGATCAAAATATGTTCATAAACAAGCAAACTACAACAGTTTACTTATTCTCCATAAGAATAACATGGGAATTTTAAATTTACAATTTTTTGGAATTTTCTCCGTAACCATTAGGCGCATATACACTTCAATATACTGAATTATTTGTTTTTTTAAGCTCTACAAAATGGTTTGGAAAGAAATTGCTAAATTTTATTTTTTTTTGGTCAAAAATGGGAAAAACCTATTTTTACCCCATAAAATCCCCCGTAAACCCCCGTTCCCATGGCCCGATCATGCTGGATCGCGAACTCGTTCGAATAAACGTAGGTTTACACGTTTGTACCAAATTTCATCAAAATCGGATCATTTTTGCTCGAGTTATCGTGCTAACGGACACATATATACATGTATATATAAATATATAAACATATAAATATATAAATATATATATATATGAATTTGAACGGATGGTGTTTTTGGCCTCTAGGGACCTCAAAACGAAAAAAAAAATCGGTCCCGCGTCCAGGCCTTACCATGAGTACTACGGTAATAGCTTATTCCCTATATGGGAAATTCGCTAAAATGCAAGGTGTGGCACTGGACTTGCATACATGTAGTTAGGAAAGAACGGGGATTTTGATTTTGGCATATTAAATTACTAGTGCCAACAAAAACATTATTTTTCCATAGTGATAAAAATTTAAAATACTGACAGATTTCACAGACTATGGTTAGATATGACCATTGAGTTGTATTATATTTACTTCGATAGATATGACATAGATCTCAAACTACTGGGACTTTAGGTTAACTTGTGTTGAATTGTTAATTCAAATTGACATAAATTGGCTCTTTGACTCCCATTTTTCTGACAAATATATGTCTCAACCGTAAAAAGAAGATATAAGTTACAGTTATCATCTACCACTGATATTTTTCTATACTTTTGCTTCAAAGAATCAAGAGGCCAGAAATAACCCTAGATGCATTGCTGCAAATATTTTCTAACAAAAAATGCTATACCTACGACGTAGGCCTATATAATTGACCAAACCTACGTGTTATAATAAATATATAAAGCCTTTCTAAATAGTCATAAGAAACAATTTAATACCATTCAGCAAAGCTTTGCTTTTCCACAACTAACATTTTAGATCTAAATTTGTTGTTAAAGTGAATCTCTTTAACTTTGTCTCCTGAGGTCTCAAAAAATGGGCCTAAACACCTCAAAAGAACCCTTGATGATTAATCCTAACAGTGTGAGTCCTTGGTAGCAAATGATAAAAGTTAACGATGGGCTTGGTCAGATGGCGTCATCATCCCAGGATCCGTGAACAGAAAATCAATAACAGGATTGCATCAGGAGGGTGGTGTTGTCTGGATGGGCTGCTCATAGCTTTCAACAACATAATCTACTCAATTCTACTCAATTCTACCGTTTCATTTGGTTTCAAATGTCAGATATAACACTGTACAAACAATAAAACTCATTTAAGTAGTTCTGTTTAATGCTAGGACTCACATAGAACATGGTTCAATTTCTGTAGTTTATACGGAAAATCCATTAAAGGAGTCAAAGTTACCTTTAAATAGTACCGGTTGTTTCAAATCCTAGGGTTAGCGTTAACAGTGATGTAAATATTAAAAAATATTATTAGCGAATTTCCCATATAGGGAATAAGCTATTACCGTAGTACTCATGGTAAGACCTGGACCCGGGACCGATTAATTTTTTTTGTTTTGAGGTCCCTAGAGGCCAAAAACACCATCCGTTTAAATTCATATATATATATATGTGTCCGTTAGCACGATAACTCAAGCAAAAATTATCCGATTTTGATTAAATTTGGTACAACCTTGTGATGATGTGGAGTAGTATGAGTGTAAATGAAGATACCTGGGCCCTATATATCTTCCTCTAACCACTACCAAATCACGCACATTCCCTGTCGTTACCCAACTCTATTGCATGGAAACTATCTAACTCGTCAAAGTGCACAATATTACCTTAGCTGCCTATCACAGCCAGCTTTTATGTTATTTAATATATCTAATTATAATATTTAGTGAATAGAGAAATAAATATATATATCTGGACTTATTCTAATTCGTGAAAAGTAACTAGATTTAGCAAATGTGAATTCTAAATTTGTGATATTGATTGCCAGACCACGACCATTCGAGAACCTAATAAAATTACATAATTAAATTAAATTAAGTTTGCCCTGGCCTACACCCTTCCCCAACGCCTATATCTATTAGCTAGACATCCTTATACTACTACTTATCCGGTCTAGTTGTACGGTTGCAGGTCGACACACTACTCCTGTTCTACTCTCATCGCGCGTGCTTGCCAGGCCGACTGCGCGCGCAACCGTATCACGTGACTTGCGCTACCTATTGTCTTGTAGCGAGTCACTACAACCTACATTTATTTGAACGAGTTCGCGAACTAGCATGGTCGGACTATAGGAACGGGGGTTTATGGGGGGTTTTATGGGGTAAAAATAGATTTTTCCCATTGTTGACCCTAAAACACAGAATTTTGCAATTTCTTTTCATACCATTTTGTAGAGCATAAAAAAAACAAGTAATTTAGTATATTGAAGCGTTATTGTGCGCCTAATGGTTACGGAGAAAATTCCAAAAAACTGTAAATTTAAAATCCCCATGTTATTCTTATGAAGGATAAGTCAACTGTTGTAGTTTGCTTGTTTATGAACATATTTTGATCGAATTTGGAAAATACATTGTGAGGTACCAAATTTTTAGGGGGGTTAAAACGTATTGCTAGTCAACAAACACCATCACTTACCCGATTTTTATCCACAACATCCTACTCCTAGGCCTATGTGTTGGCCATAGCTTGGGCTATGGGCCAAAGAACGTAGGCCTACTTTTACTAACAGTGAAGTACACAAACACATCCACAACTACATATTTATTCACAATAGCACTCTTTTTCACCATACAAAGTTAAACCGACCGATTTTACAAGTATTTATCACCGACGACGACGACATAACCTAAAGCTGGTGTTTGTTGATTGACGATGACAGACGATAACTAGACCGAATCCCCAATCAGCTGTTGGCTAGTTTCCAAAATCGCCACCGCAGCGCTTGAGCCGCGGCCGAGGAAATCGGGATTTGAGCCGGACAAGGATTATTCGCTGTTTGACCACCGACTAGCTCGCACGAGTCACGAATACAACAACGACACTACGATATTATTACGAAGGTTAGCTACCATGCCTACTAGTTAGGCCCCTTTTTACGTTTTACATTATTTCTGTTTTATCTTGCACATACTTAACTTATTATACCTTTTCGTTTTCTTAATATTCCGTTTCGAATTATCTAAATTTAATATCTTAACTTGAGTCTTGACCTGCCAGTTCCTGCCTGCCAGTGACTAGCGGTGGCTATCGTTTATTTAATTTTAATTAATTAGTTTCGAAATTACGATTTCTCCGTTCGCTTAACAAATAATTATCACGTCTAAATTATATCTCGTTTTCGCTGTTTTAATACCCCGAGACTTGTCGTCTAAGTTCTAAACCCCGTCTTTGGCGGGTGAAAGAATCAAGTCTTGGAAGCAGCTGATTTGAACAATCAAACAGCTACGAATATTCATATTAAATCTATTTTAAATCATCCCACGATAAAATTC